CAGCCAAAAACAGATGGCACAGACCTGTGTCACCCCAGGCCGATCGCGGCTCAGAGCGCTCACGGCCCCTGGTGCCTGAGGAGCTAAAGGGGGACAAAGAGTGGGAGGAGCGGCCAGACCCCGCCTGGGAACCCAGAGCAGCTCTTGAGATCTGGCCCAGCGCTTGGGGTGAGGAGCTCCCTGGCACCGGAAAGCGGTCTGTGCTTCTGGAGCATCGGCCAGGCACGCTCCTTTTATTCCACACAGACCCTCCCACCCCGCCCCCCCTCCCCATGCTGGTTTTTGTCTTTTCTGAGTGGAGTGCAGCCTCCTGCAGGGCTGCCTGTGTGTTTGCTAAGTTTGTCACAAACTTCCTGTTCGGGTTTGGTCTGAGGCTCGAAGCTCTGTGTGTTTTGAAACCCAGGCATTCACAGAAGTCCAGCGCTTCTCTCTCAGCGGCCATGGGGAGAGAAGCTGTTTCCCTCCTTTCTGCTGGCTTTTGCCATCCTTTGCAGCCCTTCTGGCTGGGAAATGCTCTGTAGCCTCAGTACTTGCTCCTGTTCATGAGGGTTGAGAGCTGTAAGAGCTGTGAGAGCTGAAAGCTGTAAGGAGGGCGGGAAGCAACACTCATTGAGCCCCTTAGATAAAGCCAGGCACTGTGCTGGATGTTTCTATATATTTCTTGTTTTATTAAGGCCTCACATTAGCACACGCAGAACCAGGCTCAGTGAGGTTAAGTGGCCAAGGTTGGACAGCCACGAGGTCCGGATTTGATCCCAAGCCCGACTCCAGAGCTCCTATTATGTCAGCGATGTCATGAGGCCCACACTGTTTCTCTGGCGCCACTGGTTGGGGAGATCTTGATTTCTTATTGGATATCTGGGTGGATAGCGTCATCACCTTGACTCCCAGACTCTTACTGCTCCGGTGCTGCCCGTTCTGTCCATGTGGGGTACAATTTGATGGCCCGAGGGCTTTGCTGACTTTCACTTTTCCCGACCATCCTCCGCCTGTGGTTCTGGGAATCCCAGAATTGTCGTGTGGTCCGTGCTGACAATCGAAGTGAGCTAAGGCCAACTCCCAATTCCCCAGAAACGGGGTATCTTTTTTTCTACTTCTGGGTACCCTGCACTGACCATTCTGCTGGTCACCATCACTTTTCCCTGAGAAGGCAGAAGCTAGGATCTCCATCTGTGTCCATGAGAGTGTGTGAAGGGGTAGCTAAGGACGATACCAAGACCTGGAGTGTGTAAGGGCAGGAGGAGGAGGAGAGGGCTAAATCCACCACCCCCTTGCTAGGAGAGCTGGTACAGAGTGCCAGACTCAGGTCTCCTGCAAAGGAAGAGCAGATACGCTCCCAGAACCTTCAAGAAGGCCGTGTGCCCCTTCCCTTGTTCATCCCAGGTCTCCTGTATTTTCTGAAAAACTTTTAGAAGTACGTCAGCTGAACTTTATCAGAGTTGTGTTGTGGGTCAAGTAACATTCCCCCCCTGTGTTGAGCAGTGGGCAGTTCCAGGTGTTTCCAACACAGATTCTGAATTAGCCTCAAGGGGTGGTAGTCTATATGGAACGTTTGCCAAGAGACGCTCAAAGCAGTGAGCATAGGAGAGCGGGGAAGACCTCAGCAAACGGGGGTGACATGCTCAGGGGACTGCAGGAGAGCAGGGCACTCAGACGGGTGCAGCGGCAGGGGCAGGAACGTGCCCCACATGGCGTGCCACCTCCTGCTGTTGTGCATGCGTGTTTGCTAAGTGTGTCACCTTGGGGGGGGGGGGGGGATGCCCAGGGAAGGAGCACACGGGATGGAGTGGAGCTCAGGGTGCTTGTGGGAAATGAGCTTGAAAAGGGATGTAATATCGTTTATGAACGATCCCATAGGATGGCTGCAGAGTGTGAAATCTTCCTGTATTGGGAGCCAATCTAATAGGATGGGGACAGGTGAAGACAGTGCCGGAGGAAGGTTCCTCTGGGTGTGTGCACTGCGAACGGGGTGCTGGAGGTGAGTTAGAAAGCATCTGTCCTGTTGAGTTTTAGGAATGAAACGTTGAGGGCTTGGACTTGGGTGGAGACATGAACATAGAAAGGAAGCTAGAGACGGAAGGTTTCAGATCCCAGCTCTGTCACTTGCTACCCATGTGACCTTGAGCAGGCTTCTGAATCTCTTGCATCTCAGCTCATCATCTATAACAGGATCGTTGTCTGAGGATTTTAACTTGTGTTGCACCCTGCACACAGTAGGTGCTCAACCAAATCAGGGTCCTCTCGTACTGTAAGAGGCACAGTTTTTGATTGCCTGGGAGGCATTGGAGGAGTGGAGAGCAAGGCCTCAAAAGGCTCAAAGCATTGTGCCTGGGAGCTGGGAGAAGCGCGCAGCTTGACGGAAATGGGTGGAGCTATTTGGGGCCCCCGAATTCAGTCTTAGGAGGCCTCTCCTCCTAAATCAAGGCTGGCAAGGGCCTGTCCCTGAAACCCCACAGTCATAGGAAACCATGGCTTCTAGTGTCAGCTGAGCCCTCAGGGGTGCTGGCCGGCAGCCAGCTCTCTCTCCAATCAGGGCATCAGGGTCGGCACTGGGTGAGGCGAGTGAGGCACTCAGGGCACAAAAGTTAAGGAGACGCTCAGTTTCAGGGCCAACCTGCACTCGCACGGTTCTCCCACAGCAGGGAGCCCACTTGGGTCCCTGCCTCCCCTCCTGGTGGTTATTGGCATCTGGGCTCCTCCCAACCTGGTTCCCTTCCACTCAGAGAAGGACATGTTCCCTCCCCGACCTGGAGAACCTTCTTCCAGGACATGGGTCCCTCTGTCTCCTGTAGCTCCTGGGACCTCGCCCCCTCCCATCATTCAGCACCAAACTCTTTCCTCAAACTTTCCAGTCCCCTCTACCTCTCATTTCCTTTCCCCCTCCCCTCACAGACGGAGACAGTCTGGGGAGCCTCTGTCCTCAGGCTCTGCTCCTTCGCTGCCAGGCCCACTCAGGCTGGCTTCTGCCCACGGGGTGGAGGGGGGGGGGTGCCTGGCACAGGGGAGGGACCTGGTGGATTTCTGCAGAGGGCTCCCGCCTCCCGCAGGAACTGCCCTCTCTGAGGTCACCTGTGGCTTCCATGTTACCACACCCAACGGACACTTCAGTCCTTATCTTTCTGGACTCTTTGCTGCTTTTGACACTGTGGACAACTTCCTCCTTTTGGTAACTCTCTTCTCTCTTGTCTTCTTTCATTCCACAAATCAATCTTTCAACAACTGTTTCTTGAGCAACTACTATGTGCTGGGCTCAGGGACATGCCATAAGACGATGTCCTTACTCTCAGAGTGTTTGGTCTAGTGTGAGAGGAGAGGGATAAAAGTAGGAACAAATGGCAGATAGTGATCAAGCTACACAGAAAACGTTCACATGGCGGGGGATGGAAAGAGGGTAGTGGTGGCGGTGGAGGGCCTCCCTGAGAAAGTGAAATTTGAGCAGAAACCTGGAGGGAGTAAAGGACACTTAGTGGAGGAGTGTTCCAGGCAGAGGGAAAGGCCGTGCAAAGGCCCTGAGGCAGGAGCCTGCTGGGGATGTTTGAGGAAGCCATTGTGGCTGGAGAACATTGAGGAAGAGCAGATGAGGAGGAGAAAAGGTCCGGGAAGAGGCTGGGCCAGAATGTGTGGGCCTTGTAGGTTATTTCAAGGACGTTGTCTTTTACTTTGAGGGAAATGAAACATATAGCAGTGTTTTGAATACAAGAGTGATTTTTTTTTAATATATTTTATTGATTTTTTGCAGAGAGGAAGGGAGAGAGATAGTTAGAAACATCGATGAGAGAGAAACATCGACCAGCTGCCTCCTGCACATCTCCCACTGGGGATGTGCCCGCAACCTAGGTACATGCCCTTGACTGGAATCGAACCCGGGATCCCTCAGTCCGCAGGCCAACGCTCTATCCACTGAGCCAAACCGGTCTTGGCTACAAGAGTGATTTTTAAATGGTCACTGAGGCTGCTGCGGGGAGCATTGTATAATAGTTTGCTAGGGCTGCAATAACAAAGTACCACAAACAGGACAACTTAAAATAGAAATTTATTGTCTTATACGTCTGGAGGTTAGAAATCTGAGGTCAAAGTGTCAGCGGGGCCACGCGCTCTCTCTCAAGGTGCTAGGGAAGGACCTGCCCAAGATTCTCCCCTCACTCTGGTAGCTCGTTGGCTTGTGGCAGCAGAATGCCAGTCTTCACATGATGCTCTCATGTGGACTGGGTGCTGGTGTCCAAATTTCTCCTTTTTACGAGGACACCAGTTATGCTTATGCTGGAGCAGGGACCCATCCCATTCCAGTATGATGACTGCATCTTAACAGCTAATCACATCGGCAATGACCCCATTTCCACATAAGGTCATATTCTGAGGGACGGGGGTTAGGACTTCAACATAGGGATTTGGGGGAGGCACAGTTCGATCTATGACACAGTTCAGCTCACATCATGTCGATTGTAGAAAGGCGAGGGTGGGCATAGGGAGACCCGATAGGAGGTGACTGCAATGACCTAGGGAGGGAAGCTGCCGGCTTGGACCAAAGTGGTAGCTCACATCATGTTGATTGTAGGAAGGCGAGGGTGGGCATAGGGAGACCCGCTAGGAGGTGACTGAAATGACCTAGGGAGAGAAGCTGACGGCTTGGACCAAAGTGGTAGCCGTGGAGGTGGTGAGATGTGGTGAGAGTCTGGATCTGTTTGGAAGATAAAGCCGACATCATTTGCTGATGGGTTGAACGTGGAGTGTAGGGGAAAGAGGAGAGTCAACAATGACTTGGGTTTGGGGCATGAGTAGCTACAAGCACTGAGTTGGGTATCTTTCGCTCCTAAATCCTCTCCTCCCTCAGGGACCCACCTCTGCAGCCTCTGCAGGGTCCTCCTCCTGGGCAGGTCCATCAACTGTTGGGTGTTCAGGGCTCAGTCCTTGGCTGCTTCTAGTCTCCCTGATGAGAGAGACAATCTGTTCCCATGTCAAAGCCATGTATCCTGAATGTACTGTTTGGGTCACTCCCACAGGCCCTGGCTCCGGAGGATGCTGAAGGAGGAAGACACGAAAGCAGGAAAACCCTGAAAGATTGAGCCTCTGAATCCCGAAACAGGTAGCGTCTCTGGAAATTCTCGGTGTCTGCATGGTTTGTGACGGGGCCATAAGATCGTTTCTTTGATGCCTGTGGTGTGGGAAATGTCCCACGAAGGAGAGGAGGGCTGCTCTGGGCCTGGACAGCCATAGATTTCTGGAAAAGTTTGGGAAGTGACCAGTGATTGTGGAATCATGTATTGGGATTCAGTGTCACTTGGAATGGGGCTGAGGGCACCCTGTCTTGTCTCTCTGGACTGTGCAGAGCTGTTGTGAATAGTGAAGGATGTTCATGAAGGCGAACTCTGGGTGATTGGGAGGGAATTAGACATCTTTGGAGAATGGTAGACCAGAAGGCCGCTCTGAGACACTCCACCAAGCCTGTCAGAGGCAGATTCCTGGACCAACAAGCCTTTGAACTAGCTCTGGGGGCATTTCTAGTGTTTTTATCAGCTCTGGCCCTGTGTCTTCTTCCAGGCACAGTTTGTCCGTCTAAAACATAGACACAGACCTGGGATTCCTCTGCCAGGTTCCACACAGAAGCTGTCTGAAGGAGCAATACATTTGTGTGTAAACAGATTTTTTTTTTCTTTTGCGGTTAAAACCCTGGTCTAGCAAGAGATGGTTGCTTTCCACCAATTCTCAGTGACGGTGGAGAAGGAGGGTGGTGACCGATGTCTCCATTTGTTTCTTTTGGTGCGTGTGGGTTTTTTTCTCGGCAAGTGCCACACTTTTCTTCTCTGTTCTGTGAATTGATTGCTCCTGTTTCTTTTTTGTTGTGGCTGATTTTGATTTAACTTCTAAGCCATGTGTCTTGGGGTTCCAGTAGGAAACAGATGATTCATTCAAGCAGAGAACCCCCAGAGACTCTACTGATGGGCCTGTTTATAGTGGCTGAGGCAAGGTAGGAGAAACCAGCACCGGGCTATGGAAACTTCTCACAGCTGGCGATGTCAGGGCGCTGTTCCCTTGCCCAGGCCCGAAAAGAAGAGGGTCGGGTTGGCTGTTGGAACTGGAAAGGGAAGCCCTATGGAAAGGCTGTCCCTGGTAGAAGGATGAAGTCAACCTACACCAACATGGCAGGAAAGAGCCACGAGAATGAATATCCTCGTTGAACACCCCTCAGTTCTCCTGTCTCCTGCTGGTGCCCCCCGTTAGGCACACCAGCCAGAAGCCTGAAGGCAGGGGGTCATGTTGATGCTGTCCATAGAGGTCAGAACCTCTGGGGGCGCAGAGCTGAGGGGAGAAGGGTGGAGGGATAAATATGGAGTTGCAGTTGGAAAACATTTGACCCAGCAAGAGCTGCAGACTCCTTGGATTATGTTATAAAGGATACTAGAGGCCTGGTGCACGAAATTCTTGCACAGGCGGTGGTGTGTGTCCCTCAGCCCTGCCTGCACCCTCTCCAATCTGGGACCCCTCAAGGGATGTCTGACTGCCCGTTTAGGCCAGACCCCACCTAAACAGGCCTAAAGGGGCAGTTGGACATCCCTCTCACAATCCAGGACTGCTGGTTCCCAACCTCTCACCTGCCTGCCAGCCTGATTGCCCCTAAACACTTCCCTGCCAGCTTGATCGACACCTAACTGCTCCCCTGCCAGCCTGATTGCCCCTAACTTCCCTCCATTTCAGGCCTTGTCCCCCCCAACCGCCCTCCCCTGCAGGCCTGGTCCCTCCCAACTGCCCTCCCCTGCTGGCCTGATCACCCACAACTGCCCCCCCTTGCTGGCCATCTTGTAGTGGCCATCTTTGACCACATGGGGTTGGCCATCTTGTGTGTTGGAGTGATGGTCAATTTGCATATCACCTCTTTATTATATAGGATTTCTACTGTGGAATCATAACTGTTGGCTTTGAGGGCCAGAAGGAACAACAGAAATCCTCTAGTCAAACTTAGATCTTTTTATAGTTGAAAAGGGAAGCGACTTGCCCAAGGCCATTCATTAGTTCATGAAAGTGTTTCTTGAACGCCCATTGCGTTTTCTTGAGAACAGTGTAAAGCAAAATCTGAGGCAGTGCGTGGAAGAAGCTGTACATGTGTTCTTATTTCTCACTTGTCAGTTTGGATTCTTTGGGGTTGTGACTGTCAAAAAACCAAACTCAGAGGGCCTCCCCCAGCACAGGGGCTAATGAATCCGCTCACGGGATGGACTGCAGGGCAGGTGAGAAACGGCAGCTCAGCAAGCCATCAGCTGTCCAGTTTCTCTCCATCTCTCTGCTCACTCTACAAGGGGGGTCTGTTCATTCTCAGGGTGGCTTCTCTCAAGGGGGCAGATGGCTGTGCAAGTTCTTGGGCTCTTTGTTGCACATCCCAGTGGCCAGAAGTAAAGAAACACCACTTCTAGTAACTCTTAAAAAACTGAGAAAGTGTCTTCCAGGAAGCCCTCCCCAGCCAACCAACCCTGGCATTTCATTGGCCTGAACTGAGCCATGTGCTTCTTCCTTAGCCAATCCCAATGGCCAGGCAAATGCCCTGTGTTGATTGGTGGGGATGGGAGATTTTTTTTCCCCTTCTGATTGGCCTATTCTCCTCCTGAGGGGAGTGTGTCAGCTTTCTCCAAAGCACCAGGCCTGGGGGAGGTAGGGCCACAAATAAACGGAGCTCTGGGAGGAAAATGGATCCTGGGAGAGGGGCAGCTGACATCCACTATATTGTATCATCTGTAGCAATACTACTAATTTGGGTTAAGTGTTGGGGGTAGTAGTGAGAAGAAACCTGCTCTTAACTAGTAAAAGTCTGAATTTTAAAGTGTTTTAACACAGTGTAGTTTCAGACGGACTCTTCCCAATTAGCTTCTGCTTTTCAGTATGTCTAAAACCTAGGACCTTTTAGGAGATTAAATATGCCTTCTGCATTTCTGTTTTATTTCTAATTTGCTCATTCAACCTTTTTATAGCCAGAGTAAACACTGGCCTCAAGTTTTGGGTCAGAGGAAATTAAATTACAGTCATGGTTCCTCATTTATAACCTCATCTATAAAGTGGGAATAAGAATAGCACCTACTTTATAGACTTGTTGTAAGGATTAACTGAGGTAATTTAAGTAATGTGCCCAGTGGCCCAGTGGCTGGCCCAATAAATGTTACCTTTATTAGCGCCATATATCTCAAAATATTGTCAGAGGTATATGTTTAGTGCTTATTTAATCTGGGAAATTAACCCTCTTCACAACAGATATAGTATCTATTACTGATTAACTCTGTTAGAGATGAAGTAAATAAAGGTGTTAAAAAATTTAGTGTTTATGGATTTCTTTTTTAACTGAAGTGTTGTTTTTTTTAATTTATTTTGGGGAAAACCTAAATAAAGAAAATTTTAGGTAGCATACAGTTAAAAGTGGGCATGAAATCCCTGGGAAAATGGGGATTTTTAATTTTACTCTAAAATATTAATGTATTCTTAGTTGAGAAATCCTTTAAATAGTTGATGGCCTGTCATGCCCTATCCCCGCTGATTTTCTTTTTTCTTTTTAAATATGTTTTATTGATTTCACAGAGAGGAAGGGAGAGGGATAGAGAGTTAGAAACATCGATGAGAGAAACATTGATCAGCTGCCTCCTGCACTGGGGATCGAGTCTGCAACCAAGATATATGGCCTTGACCAGAATCGAACCCGGGACCCTTCAGTCCGTGGGCCGCCACTCTATCTACTGAGCCAATCCAGTTAGGACCCAGGTGATATTCTTGCCTTTGTTCTCAGTTTGGAGACCTGGGGGGGCATGCGACCCTCCCTGGCTTTGGCTTCTTCAGGCAGCCACACAGTTGGGCTGCTCTGAGTGGATGGGTTTGAGGATCACCTGGATTGGGTGAGACGCGGCTGAAGGCAGAAGCTAGTCTTGGGCATTTACTTCATTGGAATTTCAGTGGACAGAATACCGTAACTCATTCTCTAGTCCAGTGGTTCTCAACCTTCCTCATGCCGCCACCCTTTAATACAGTTCCTCATGTTGTGGTGACCCCCAACCATAACATTATTTTCGTTGCTACTTCATAACTGTAATTCTGCTACTGTTGTGAATCGTAATGTAAATATCTGATATGCAGGATGTATTTAGGCGACCCCTGTGAAAGGGTCGTTCGAGGTTGAGAAGCGCTGCTCTAGAGCCTTGGGTGCCATAAACCTCTCAGAATCCCAGGATGGTCTTGGTTTGGGGTTCCCAGATTAGTGATGGGGAGAGCACAGGTTGTTACAGAACCCCCAAACTCTATCAGCTGTGTTCCCAAACCAGGCGGAGATGGCTTTGTGGGTCAGGGTGGACAGGGTGTGACGAGGGGCCTGTGGGTAGAGGGAAAAGTTCTAGAGCAACCAGGAACTTACGGACCAAAGATTTCTGGACCATAGAATTTTTCACTCCCCTCTCCCCTGAGTAATGATTAAAATTAGAGTTAAATTTTCTATGGGTTGCTTGTTGCCCCAGGGCTGGTCACCATTGTGGTAACTAGATGGTTCAGAGGGTGCTGTAGACAAATGGTTCTCCCACGTAGATCGCCTGGGCCAGTGGTCGGCAAACTGCGGCTCAGCCAACTGCGGCTCGAGAGCCACATGCGGCTCTTTGGCCCCCTGAGTGTGGCTCTTCCACAAAATACCGACTTCTGCGCATGGGCCACGAAGTTTCAATTGCACTGTACGTGTGCGCCCGCAGGTGGTATTTTGTGGAAGAGCCACACTCAAGGGGCCAAAGAGCCGCATATGGCTCGCGAGCCTCGGTTTGCCGGCCACTGGCCTGGGCCAAGAAACTACCAAAATGAAAAAAATTTGGAAGACTGGCTTAGGGCTACCAATTTTCTCTTTTTCCAAGGAGTGATGTTTTTGCAAACCTAACATCCGTCACCACAATTTCATAACAGAAAGGACTATCTTGATGCTAATATAGAAAAAAAGGAGAAATTTAAGACTAAAACAGGAATCTTTACATTGACAACAATCAGCTTTAGGAAGAATTTACCACATTGTTCTTACTTTTCTGACAACACCTGTGGAAACTACATCCACGGTGGGTGCTGCCCTGCCATCTATCCGCA